AGTTTTGGCTAAAAGCCAAAACATTAATTATCAAATCTCTACTCAATCACGTAGCTAACCAAAGGGGTATCCACAAACTCTTTAAATCATTCTCCACTACCTCACTCCACCCACTACACTACAACACTCCAAATAATTATATAATACTCCCAAAACCACACCATAACATCATCATCATCTTCCACCATCCCACATCACCAATCATCTCTCCTCCTCACCATCTTTCTCTCTCTGTCGGCCAAACAAAAGGAAAGGAAAAGAAAGATGAAAGTAAATATTCTTCTGAAATGCACTGGTCATGCAGCTTAGAACAATATTTATGACTAACACATAATGTACATGGACAATATTATTTCAACTTGGGAATATTACAGATGCAACTCTAAGTCTAATCTTCCAGGATTTGCAAACTCATTATAACTAGCACCTGGGAAAGCATTAGCAAACTCTAGCTTGTCCAAAAGCTCATCAACCAAGAAAGAAGAAATAAAAAGTTTCCTCTGATTCAAAGCCATGAAGTTCTGCCTCACCGCATCATCTAGAAACTTGATTAGGTTATTGAAATAACCTTCAATGTTCAAAAGACCAATGGGTTTACTGTGTAACCCTTCGGATGCCCATGAGATCAAAGTGAATAAACCCTCCATAGTGTCAATCCCTCCAGGAAGTACAATGAAGGCTTCCACAATATGATTCATCTCGAAATACTTATAGTAGTTGCTGGAGACGGTGTACTCTGCACCATATGTTGGTCAATAGACCCCTCGTGTTGCTATATACCCTGGTATGAAACCTCTGACTCTACCACCATTGTTATAGACTGTTGAAGCTACAGCTCCTTGAAGGCCAACATTGCCTCCTCCGTAAGTAAGCCTGATTTCTCGCCTTACCAATTCTCGTCCTAAATCAACCGCTGTAGCCATAAACCTTGGATTGCTACCAAGAGCATGACTACCAAGTAGACCAACGAATCTTATAGTATTAGGAAGAGCTCGAGAAGTTCCTTCCATAATGTGAGAATGTGAGACGCTCTTGCCACAATTCGATATATATAGACTCTAAAACAGGACCATTGATGAAAAAGTAATTATCACCAGCCCAAAAACATACAGGAAAGTGGATCCGTTCCAGACAAGAACGTATTCGCCAATACTGCAGTCTGCTGACGACATGACATATTGAGACTCAGGAATAGTTAGGATCATTGTCCTGAAATACATTCAAATCCGAGACGAAAAGTCAAAATGACTATTTACCTAAGACAATGACCCCTTGAGTAACCTCGATAGAGTGAAACATTAAAGGATGAAAACCTACTATTTGCCACAATAATTCACAAACTCTCTATTCGTATCTTGTGATTTATATCCTTGAAATATTCAAACTTGCTGTGTTAATTACACACTTAAAGCATCTCACTTGATCAAACTTGAAAAGATTTAATTCTATTTAAAAAAAATTAAGAACTTGTTTAAACTCATATTTCTCCATCAAACCAAAAAGATGTTTTACGATACCGATCTTCAAAAAAAAATCACGCCTGTGCCTGTAGAATCCCAATCAAATTAGAACATGATTATGTGTATAACTTGTCATGTTTTTGATAATAAGTAATTTTAATTATTGTGTGAAGAATATTAGTGATATGACGAATACACTAATATTATAATTTTTGAGCACAAAACTCTACCATAATCATTGAGCAAGTATAAAATTCCAAGGTAGTTCTGGAATCATTAATTAGAAAATCAGTATTTAAGAATGATTACATATCATCTTGATAATACAAACAGTGACAAAATGACAAATGTTATCACAAAGTTCATCCAGTCATTACAATGTGATAAAAAATTATTGTTATATATAAGTGTGGTATATGAGTTAACTGTTATGATCAAGATTTAATCAGCTTATTGACGTTACGTTAGTCAGAACAACTCTATTAAGGATCGCTAATGAGAGTTCAAGTTTTGAAACTATAATTTCGTATTCATCTAGAAATCCTAGAATGATGGCTATGGTAATAGTCATGCCCCAAAATATCATTATGAAAAAAAAAACGTCAAACATAAAACAATTCGTTCCAGCTTGTACACAACGAAGCGTAATTTGTGAAACAAACATTCCAGACAAAGTCGTCTGAGAATGATTCTACAAGAATTGAAAATAATAAAAAAAAAAATTCAAGTTACCCCACATTCACGAAACATTTGTAAATTACCCCACTTTCAAGAAACGCAACCCATACAAGGACTCTTGAAAACTCCTACAACACAACACGAGCAAGGTAAGATCAGAGTATATTCGACGCAAGTCTTCATGAAAGAAATTCAAGCACGTTACATCTATCATCCGCGTATATCTTCTCTAAAGAGAACATGTCATAAGAATGACACTCAACAAAACAAAGAGAAAACAACTTTTCAAAATTTGTGTTTTATAAAAACAATGAATATTCATGATTTTATACATCATCATTTTAAATGACTTCACCTAGGAAATTTCGGGGACGAAATTTCTTTAAGGAGGGAAGAAATGTAACGCCACAAAATATGGCCTAAAATTTATTATAAAATAAAAGTAGTTTTATCCAATAAGGAATATTTATACGTTTGACCAAAAATAAATGGATTTCCAAAATAATGACTTTTTGTTAAAAACTTATTCTTATGGATATGTCTCGAAGAGACGAATCCAACGGTACATTTTATGAACCAATCTGATTTATAGATTTCAAGTTATGTCAATTTTAAATATTAAAATTTGTAACTTTGACCCATAACATAAACTCAATTCAAAAAGAGATTTCATAGGGTTGGAAATCTTAAATTTTGACACTTGACAACATCATATTAATCATTTGGATTTAATTCATATATTTTTATTTCATTCATATTATTATATTAAATTATGACTGAGACATACCCGAACACTGTGAAAAATAAAAGTTCTCAGAAAAATATTTTGATTACGCCAAAATTCTAGTTT